GACTAATGGAACGAGAGAGCTGAGCACCTTTGGGTCACTGCTTATTGGCAGTGTTGGTGCCTCTGGGGTTTTATCAATGCAGCAAAAGAATTATGACAACTTGTCTCAGTGGCCTGACCAGCATAAGAGGTCTGATAGGCTACAGGGTATAGGGGCAGGGAGAGTCCTGCCTTTGGGTACCACCAAGAAGCTGTACTGACTGAAGAACAGTACTGAGTTGTTTCCTGTTCCTGAATTGAAACCTGTCACTTCCCTAATAAATCCTGTAGGTGTGAGTATGGTCTGTGAGTTCTGTGTGGTCACTGCAATGAATTAGCAGAGAAGTTGACATGGTCTGCCATCAGAATTGATGAAAAGGTTGAGGAAAAAGCTGACCTCTGCCTCACAGGAATCGGCCTTGGGCTGTTGATCTCGATTCTCCATCCCCCTTTAGATGAAGAGGTCAGTTGAACATTGCCGCCACGCCAGTTTTCCAATCTGTACAGGAGATATCACCTACTTGGTAGAGTTGAGATATTAGAATGCATAGACATTTTAAGTGCTTAGCAGAGTACATAAGACAGAAACCACAAACGTTATTTCCTTTGGAGCACAGCTATCTACAAAGCACAAAATCTGAATTAAAAGAAATCTGTTGGCGAGCTCTGGTGGCCTAGTGGCAAGAAACTGCACTGCAATCCCAGAGGGTGCACAGTTCGAATTCACCAGATGCTCTTCTGGAGAAGGGGGGACAATCTCCTCCTGTACCAGTCAGATCTGATTTGACGGTACACAAACACACACACACAATAAAATAATTTTTTTTTAAAAAGAAATTTATTAGAGTGAATGCTACTAAGAAGACTCAAAAAGGGGAATTCATACACATTTTGGTGTATTTCACTAGGATTTAACCTATACTTTTCCAAATAAACATATCTAGTCAAAACCAGCATACATGGCACACAAAATGACATTAAGAACATACCTGAGAACACAGTATGTAAATGCGGCACGTTATGATATACAAGTGTGGCATGATTAGAGGAATGTGCTGGCTCTTGTCTGTTCTCATTACTGCCCTTCCTCTGGTTCAGTGTGAAAATGAAATTAACCAAAGTGTGGGGACACAATTTGAAAACGGAAGATCACTTGGTTTATTGCTTGTTCACTTGCCATGAGTGGAAGCTCATGGTGATCTCGGATGGAAAGAGAAGCAAGAAAGTGACATGGTTTCTTCCTACTCACATATTCCTGCCAACCCCTGACCTGATTTCTCCTCATTATGTCTATCACATAGAGGTTCTAGAGAGAGGGAAGAATGTGCAAAGTAAGGTCAGAAAATATGTTTACAAAATAGCACCCTAAGAGCAAAAGGAAAATGAATGTTTCCATATAACCTCCCCTCCAAAGCCAATCAAATCCTGTATGCCCAGCACTGTGCCTCACGTATTACAGGAACTCTCAAGCTTCACAGCAATCCTATGTGGTCAGTATTAGCTTCATTTCCACTTTACCGATGATGAAAATGAGGCTTAGAAAGCTTGAGAAATCTGCCCAAGGTCGCATGGCTAATAAGCGGCAGAGAGTCAAGAGTCTTGATTCTGAGATCCACACTATTTACCCACTCCCATACTACTTATTACTGTGATGCAGATGAAAGGGTATTATTGAGTTCTAGCCTCAGCTTCAACCCCTGGGCAAATCCCTTAACCTCACTGAGCAACTCCTCATCTGTATATGACTGGCCTTCTCCGTAGTATATCTTGGTGATGCTGAAGGAGTTAATGCATGCATACATACGCTGTAAAAACTGGAAAACAATGTTAATTTAGGCCTCGGTTACATATATTTTTATCCTTGCAAGGGGTCATGTACCCAAAAACAAATCTAATAGTACATAATTTTTTAACACTCCTAAGCCAAACCTTCTTGCTCTTTCTCCCTATCCCTTTTCTCTCAGGCCCTCTCCTTTTCTCATTGTCTCTGAGTAGATTCCCACTCTTAACTGATCCTCTGGCGGTTTTCCAAAGCTATGAATCACGACAGAAGAGATGGCTATCTTTCCTCCATGGAGCCACTGGTGGATTAGAATCACCACCTCGGGTTAGCAACGCAACTCCCTACAGACTTCTCCACCAGAACTCCCTCATCAAAGATAGTCTACCCTTATGAAAAATCAGTCTTATTAAATAAATGCTATCTTCGATAGTAAGACAATTTATGAAAGAGCTTGATGCTCAGAAAGATGTCAGGGCACGTGACAATGCTGATCCCGTCCTTTTTGAGTGGCGTCCCATGGAACGTTGTGCAGTGATGGAACTGTTCTAGATCTGTGCTGTCCAATGCAGTAGTACTGGGCACTGGTTACTAAGCACCTGCAAGGAAGCTAGTGAGACGGGAGCACTGAATTAACATTATCTCATTCTAATTCATTTCCATAGCCACACAGGGCTAGTGGTGACCATATTAGCACAGTTTTAAATAATTCTTCAAGAGAACCCTGAAAATACACTCATTTTAGCTCTCAAAGAAAAAAGTCACCCTATGAGAACCATTCAAATGGATGTAGTTAAGAAACTGAAGCAGGTCAAGAAGGACTAAGTAGATGGTTAAAAGAACCAGGAACCAAGAGAGTTCATCTCAAACTGTTCCTCACTTCAAGTTGAAGAGTATAACCAAGACAGCAAGAGTCACTATCCTTTTAATTCCTTTAGTACTTTTTAAAATAACCACACAATTTTGTTACACATTATTTCTGCTCCCAGAAAAAAAGAGAAAAAGGGCAAGGGTTAAAGTTAGCAAACATAAGAGATCCTGCCAATTTCTTTTAAAAAAAAAATTATCATTTAACTATGTATCTGGAGTTCCTCGGTGGTACAAAAGGTTAATGATGCTTCTCTAACCAAAGAGTTGGCTAACCAAAAATACGGGATTTTGAATCCATCCAGAGGCACCTAAAACATACACACACATACCCCTCCCCTAGAGATACATTTTCAAAAAAAACAGCCACTAAAAACCCTACGGAGCAGTTCTATGCTGCCACACACCTGGAGTTCCCATGAGTTGAAACTGACTACAAACCAACTGGTTTGCTCATATCAACTATTCTACATCATCTACTAATTTAATGAGAGATGTCCAGAAAAGCATGAACCAAAAAAGGAGCATGAGGTCAGTCTACACAGAAGAGTCAGTTCTGGTTATTCACATCCAGCAGTTACCAGAGCTCAAAGCCACAAAGTCTCATTACATCTTATCTGAGTAGCTTAAAATGCTAGTTGATTAAACTTCTGTATTTAATGCCAGTCCTTTTTTACCCCTACCCTAATGGCCTAAAAGATAATTTATATCCTGAATTGTAGAGGCTTTTTATCAGAGCTCTCCCTTGGGAGAACTATGAAATCAAACACTGAAACTGGCTCCCCACCCTCCCAAAGTGAAGTGTCCAAAGTGACAATGTGGAATCCCTAGAGTACATTTAGGCCACAGCTTCTTTTTCAGTCCTGCAAGTACTGGATCTTTCTTTCATAGCTAAGAGAGAGAGAAAGCAAGCCAGGTAACTGAGAAGTAGTAACACCCTCATGCAGAAAAGGCATGAAAATACCTCACCTCAGAGACAGAGGCAAAAAAAGCTCATTCTTGCTACTTAGCTCAGATGCAAACCAGACTCTTTGTTCTCTCTTTTGAAGTTCATTAACCACATTAGGAAAATATTATGTCATAATTGCGTACAGGAGTGATTTTTAAGAGTACTCAAATGTACAATTAAGTAACATTAAATCACCCTGGGTGATCAAGGAGTAAGTCCAGAGAAAAAAGAAATGGGGTATCTATCTTCCCAGGCCTGCCTCTCTCATCCACTCACCCACACTCGCAGTTATCGGGGCCAAGAATTGTCCTGTACCCTGTAGCCCATTCATTGTGCAATCTTTTTCCAACTCCACCCACTGAACTCCAGAACAAGTGTAATTCTCCCTTTCTGAAGGAGATCTTGATTTTCTTGTATCGGGTGAGGAGCTCAAGGAAAACTCCTTGACTTGAGTCAAGTAAGGCATGAGGAATGGTACAGTCTCTCTACCAGATTAAGAAACCAAAGGGCCAGGGTCTAGAAGGAGCTCAAGCTTTTACATAAATACACACACTCACACATTCTGTTGTTCTTCTAATAAGTCATAAGCCTTGGAGTAGATTCCAATACATAGTGGCCCTATATGGAATATATACAAAAAAGACTATATGTAACACTTTATATACTAAGATGTACACAGAAGATAGAGGAAAATCCACAAAGTAGTAAAAGGAGAAAACGCTGGACGGGGAAGACAAGTGATGAGGATGCTGCTTGCAACTATGCAGGACCAAGGCACTCCAGCATCACCTCTCATCCCCAGTCCCACGCGCAGCTGGGACAGGGACCCGGGGCAGGGGTGTGCGACCCCGCGGGGCTCGCCAGACGCCCACGCAGTGACAGGCATAGCAGGGAGAAGGGGGCGCCACGCAGCCCCGGTTCCCGCGCTGTTATCTTACTGCGCAACAGCCTCGTCGGCTCAGCGGGAGCACACCCCGCAACGCGCCCTGCACACCTGCCAGAAGGCTGAGGGGCGCCCCAGGGACCCCTGGCAGCCCTTCGGCGGGCAGTGCCCAGCGTGGGGCATACGGGGACACTGGGAGCTGAAAGAAGACACCTGGCGCTGGGGGATCCCTGGCCGCACGTGGCTGTCACACCTGGAGAGCCCCTGCCTTGCACCCCTGAACCCGTGGATCTGGCTGCGCCCCCTGCCTGCCCTCCCCTATCATCGCGTACTCCCAAACCCTAACTGCTGCTCCCTCCCATCTCACCCTTCTCGGTCCCAACCCCCCACCTGCTCCCACACTCGTCACCCCCCAAAGGGAAGAGGACCGGATATTCGTCCGGTGACTAAAGGTAACCAGGGAGAGTGAAGAGGTGGCCCCCGAGAAAGAGAACTCTTGTATCTTCCTTGCCGGGCAGGGACCAGGTTGTTCTCCGGACTGACCTTCTGCCTCGGGCTGCGTCGCCGTCCGCCCCGTCCGGCCTCAGTCGCCTCTTCAGCGCCACCACCTCTTCCCCGCGATCCCTCCTCTACCCGAGTCGCCATGAGGTGACGGCAGCAGCCAAACAAGCAGCCCGACAAGGGGCAAGGAACCGCAGGGCCTCTCACCCCGCCCCTGAAAGCTCTCAACCAACTGCCACGCTCCACACTTCCCACGTGACCGGAGGAGGTTGGGCCCTGCGGGAGATGGAAAGGAATGGAGGTGGGGAGCCTTGAAACCTGGGTTGGGGCTTCCGCAGGGCCGAAGGGCAGACAGAGGCCGCGCGAGCCTGCGCGGACCGTGAAAACCGACTCTGGAGCGCACTACAAGTCCCAGAAGGCTGTGCGGCCACAGCAAGCAGGCCGGGATAGGGATTGGAGCGAAATACAGCGTTCTGGGAAGTAGAGCGCGCACCCCTGCGCTGCGAGTGCAGCCTCTGGAGCTGGTAGTTTTCTTAGCCGGTGGTCCCTTACCAAAAAACACGAATTACCATCCCGTGAAGGAACTTGATAGTGCAGTGGTTAAGCCCTGGACTAGCAATCAAACACCCAAAGGTTCCAACTTAGTAGCAGCTCCACTGGAGAAAGATGAGACAGTCCGCTGCCTTATATATTTACAACTTTGGAAACCCTGTAAAGCAGTTCTACTGTGCCCTATAGGCTTGTGAGAGGAAAGTGGATATGATTTTGGATTATTATCCTTTGAGCAAAGTTTAGAAGCTTACTATTTGGGATGGAACAAGATTTTTTCTTTTTGTTGTGTCACCTGAAAGGGATTTCACCTGCTGTTCTTTAGCTGCAGAGAGCAAAAAAAAAAAAAAATAATTGGAAGATAAGGGTAAGTACTTCGCAGTTTCCAAGGGGGAGGTTCAAATGTGACTGTTTGAGACTAAGGCACCTGCAGGATCACCAGAGCTTACCCTGTCCCTGTCCCGACCTACGGAGTGGCGTCGCGTTCCTTTCACCGTGATCAGCTGCGCTGGCGACCAGCAAACTTCTGCCCTCTTAGTTGGCGCCGGAAACAGCTTGAATGGATCCTGCTTTCACTGTTTAGAAAAATCAGTTGGCGGGATCGAGTTCTCCCCCTTGATTTGCTGGGAGTGATCATTCCCTATTTTCATCTGATTGTAACCAAGTCTCGATGACCAATCCCGCCAGTCTTATAAAATTCAATATGAAAACTTGGGCTAAATTCTATACCATTTAAAACATAATTTTTAAAAATCTATAAAAACAGTGTAAGCAGACTCCAAAAATATAAGAGCATACAGGAGAATAAATTTTAATATGACAGACATTCCGTTCATTAATATTTTTTCCTGTCATTTTGGGAAAAGTATGGTTGTTTTGTTTCATAGGCAGAACGCTTAGTCCACCTTTCATACTACAAGACTAGAACATGGTCTAAAACATAGCAGTAGATGAGGAACCTATACTCAGACTACGTAAAGCTGATGGCTTCAGCCGCCAACAACAGTGCCATCTTCTTAAGGGTAAAACTTCAACTAATTATAGTGGAGCCGGGAACTGATTCATAGGTGACCCTCCAGAGGATTTTCACAGGCTGTAAATCTCACAGGAGATTTCCCATCTTTCTCCCAAAAGGGTAAAAGGTCCAGCAGAATGCACAATAAACCTATCAATCATGTGTCTCCTTACCCTTTTAGAACGTACTCTGGCGGTATAGTGAGCAAGAAAGGTTAGAAAGGTTGGTAGTTTGAAACCACCAACCTCTCTGTAGGGGAAAAAAATTGGACAGTTTCCTCCCTTAATGAATTCCAGCCACAGGAAGCCCACAGAGAGACTGAGTCAAACCCATCTAAGGAATTGAGGGTCTAAATCCACTGTAGTTACTCATAATAGACTATTATGCAGCTACCAAAAAGATGAGCATTTTAATATCAACCTTATAAAACTTAGTGAGTTTTAAGAAAGAACAAAATTTCCACTTATGTAGAATTGTCTGAGTATGTTGAAGAAGAAATGTGTAGACAGATGCTTATCAAAGTGTTAGTGTCTTTTCTCCCTGGGTGGTGAGATTTGGTGTTATGTTCTTGAGATTATCTGTATTGTTTGCATATGAATAGGTATGAGGCAAAAAAGTCAGTTGTTGCAGACCAAGGGTAAAGTAATTTTATAATTATTTATAATGAGACAAACACACAGGAATGAGATAGAGCAAAGAGCATAAAACAGGGGGCCAGCAGTTCTCAACGGAAGACTCTAAGTCATGTTTCTCTGTGTATTTACTGATAAACAGGGCAAGCAAATAATAAAAGGAATTCCTTGTAAATGAAGCCGAATTTTTCTCTATTGTCAACCTAATGCTCTAGCTCAGGAAGTATTTCACACGTGATAGCACTCACTCTAGGGGGGGGGGCCCTACCTGTCTCCTCTCTGCAGGGAACAAACAGCTCATTTTCTGTGATCTGCCAGAAGAAAAATCCTAACTTGTAAATCTATAATTCCTTCAATTCCTGAACAAGGGTTTTCATATAATATTTGATATAAAGTTTGGCTTCCCATAGCAAAGTAATTTTCATTAAGAAAACAAAAGAACTATGCAAGTGACTTCACATCTTAAGAGAAATAAAAAAAATTCATTGTGTTTTTTAAATATTATTTGAATTTAAATTATTGTAAATAGCTCAAGTGTTCTTGTTCACAAGAGATTTGGAGTCGCTTATAAACATATACACAGGATACCATGCAGAAAATGAGGGTCAAAAATATATATATGATGAACTTAGGAGGACTTGAATCCATAAAGCACGTGCTTGGAGGTTTTATAAATAAGCTGGAGGTGCGCCACCTTTTTTTATTTCCCATTTCTCTGCTTCCCCATCACTCCCAACACAAAAATGGACAGGTAAAACCCATCAGCTGCGCAGAGAGAGAAAGATGGGCAATCTGTGCAATTTACAGCCTCTGAAAATGGTCTGCTATGAGTCCTTTCCAACTTCACAGCAATGAGTGAGTGACAAAAAGAGAATATACTATCTCCAAAATGATTCATAGCATCACTGAATGAAAACAGATTGCTCAGGAGAAATGTAGCTATAACTTGGTCCTGGGAGAAACAAATTCTAAAGGACAATTGCTTATAAAGGGAGCCCTGATGACACTGTAGTTCAAGTGCTGGACTGCTGAACAAAAGGTCAGTGGTTCAAACCCACCAGCTGTTCCTTGGGAAAAAGATGTGACAGCCCGCCAAAGAATGGCACCTCCTGACATCAAGCCCAAGGTATGTGAGACCTCAGTGACTGAAACAATGGGCCTGGTGAACGTGGGCAGAGACCTGATGGGGGTGAGCCTGGTGAACGTGGGCAGAGAGACCTGATGGTAGTTCGTAGGGTCTGGGCGTTAGGAGTGGTAGTGACTTCACAGCACCTAACTATAACAACAAAATGAGTGAGAATTGACTTGATGGCACACAACAACCTTTTAACAAGGCTTTTAAGTCTGTCCACCAATTCTTTCTCCCATTTGATTTCAAAAGATGAAATTGCTTCCCGTCCTGTTGAATGGGAGTGGGGCTTGGCGGTTTCCTTCTTCCAAATGCAATGTACAGAAAGAAATTTGTGAGAAAAAGAGGAGTTTGTACCTGGTTCTCTGGCTTTCCACCACACTGGCTCTTCTCGGGTCGTTCTAACCTGATCTTTTTTATAAACTCATTCTTTTCTTTGCTTTTTCTCTATGGTGCCTTTTGAGAGGACACTCTTAAGCCTCCACGATTGGCTCTGAAGCGCTTGCTTATCTCTGCTGGAACCCATTAATGGTTTCAGATTCTACGTTGTCAAGGACCATCATTTATCTCCAAGTCTTTAAAGGGCACACTGTGTTCTGCTTACATTAATTGCTCTCTTTTTTTGCTCTGGGAATTGCTGTCTCTTGAGAACTGTGCCTGCCAAGAGATTTTAAAAAAACAAAAACAAAAACAAAACACCAACACAACAAAACACCACACACACACAGACAGAACACAAACACCACCACCACAAAAACCTCCCACAAATGCAAAAGGTCAAACTGGTCAAATCCATGCCAATTCATGACAAGCCTATGTGTTTCAGAATACAGTTACACTCCCATAGGGTTTTCAATGGCTGCATTTCAGAAATAGACCCCCAGAAATTTTTTTCCCCCATCAGAAAAGGAAGTCTGGTGAAATGTAGGACACACTTCGGGACAAGTGGCAACAGCGATGGCTGAACTGGAGAACTGCTGTGAGATGGAACTTTGGTGGGGGTGGAAAGCCAGTAGTGGCAGGACTCAGAACTTTGTTGGACAAGCAGGGGAAGGAAGCCAACACTGGCAGGACTGAGAACTGGGGGACAGCATGACTATAGATGCTGAGGTGCCTGCATGCATAGTTTGGGAGCTGTTTTGACTGTATTCTGTTATTAATTTGAATTATGAGCTTTTGATCCCGCCCCAAAAAAAGGAATGCATATACATCGCCAAGCCTTTCTTCTCAGGAGCCTCGGGTGGGTTCAAAACATAATCTTTTGACAGTAGACTGCTTAAATACATGTGCTATCCAGGGTCTCTAAGAGAACAGAGACCACAAGGGAAAATCAGCAGCTCTTCAATACAGGTGAGAAGTGAAAGCGAGTTTTTCCCCTCCCAGGATCCCCAAGGAAGGCCTGTAGTTACAACCTGAAGAAATGCCCATTTATTTAGATGGTTATTACACAGTCCTGAGCAAGCAGGGGCAAAACAATGCTTAGGTCTACAACGAGGAGAAGATAAAATAGATGAATGGGACCTTCTAAGAATCAAATCCCTATGCACATCCAAAAACTTCTCCAACCGGGTAAAAAGGGAAGCCACAGACTGGGAAAAATATATGGTAATAACATGTCAGATAAAGGACTTACATCTAGAATTTATAAAATACCTGAAAACCACAATAAGATAAATGTAAATAATCCAATTGAAAAATGGGCACAAGATATGAACAGACACTTCACCAAAGAAGACATCCAGGTGGCCAACAAGCACATGAAGAAATGTTCACAACCCCTAGCTCTAAGAAAGATGCAAATCAAAACAACTATGAGATATCATCTCACCCCAGTCAGAATAGCAAAATTTGACAGAACAG